TTCATATGTTATTTCCCTTCAATTTAGGATTAGGGCCTGTTGTGTGTGTTTTTAGCAACAGAAGGTGGTAGTACCCTGGGGACCACCAGTTCCTACAAATGCCTGCAATGCTTGCAGTACCATATATATGGGACTGTTGAAAGAGATTATCAAAATTAACAACAGTTTCTGGTCTTAGGTTCTTTTAACACCATGAATTACAGCCATATATTTCTCCTGTTTCTCCCCATGTTAGTTTACCTGTAGAAATAGCCAGTGTAATTTAGTAAATCTATAATTAATTATATTTAATTTTTTCCCTGCTGTGAATTTAATCTGGGAAGGAAGTATAAAAGATACAAAGGATTAGACTGTAAATAGTCAATTGATAATAGGATTGATAGCAGTACGTAGGGAGGATTTTGGAAAGTAGGAGGGCTGTTCTGAACAGTAAACTATGTGAGTTATGTACAAAGATGTAAGCCTAACAGTGGTTTATTCATGTGAGAATGATACTAGCAGTAAATTACAAACACTAACAAAGTTTCTACTCTTTCATACAAACTCCAGTTCACATTTCTTTGCATGTAGCTGTGCAAGGAAATAGAAATTAAGTGACACAAGTAAAGAAAAACTCATGAAGTAAGAGGAAGTTGATGAACTGGACAGATTTAGGGAGGTTGTTTGGTACTGTAGAAGCCGCAGACTCATACTAGTGTTGGTCACATTCCTGGTAGATAATAGAGCTAATGATAGATGGAAAAGAGAAGCAAGGAAAAAAGATACATGATGTTTGTTCTCACACATACACAAACTTTACTAAGGTAAGAAAGAAGTCCTGAAGAGTAAACTGAATGAGGTAAAGTGTCTTCAGAATGCCAGGTAATATGACAATGGCTTATTAATGTGAGAAGCTACAAGTAATGACAGGATTAGCTAAATAACAGATCTGTTTCTAAGAGGCCTGAAGTCCTAACAGTAGTTGGCATGCCTGCATGTCATGAGGTAGCAGACAGCATGAGTGGAGGGAATAAGCTGTTGCTGAGAGTTCAGATGTTTACCTGCTGGTATTGTATCGTACAATAATCTATATTCACACCTTTAGATCTTTCACACTTAGCAACTTTGCAGAGCAAACCTCAGTATTTCACTCCTGCAATTTTCTGCATACGTTCAGAGGATTTCATCCAAGCATATCACTTGCTATTGCAGCCTGTCAAAGGTTTAAATGAAGGAAAGTTTGTCAGATGTCATAAAGGATGTCCAAGAGATATTTATGTTGTTGTTGTTCTTTTGTTCTTTTTCCTTCCTAACGTCCTACTCACCATCTCATAAAGTTTCTTGAAGAAAATGAAGTCTTATTTCTTGTCTCAGTCAAGTGCTAATTTGAGAAACCGAAAGGAATTAAATTGTTTAGGGAGGAAAGAATTCAAGATCATGATGGTAATAATTTCACTTAAATATTTCAGAGTGAAAGGAGAACCTCAAATTCATTATTCCATTTATTGTCTCAGCCATTTTCAGTAACCTGTTTTATCACATAACTTCTGTTGAAGTATGGGAATTGCAGTAATTGGGTGGATAGTGCTATAAACTGATTATTATAGTGAGCTGAAAGGCGTCATTTTAAATTCTATTTCCCACATTTTTCTTCTTAGATGAATTGTAATCTTTTAATTCATTGTAGTTTTTATCCTCAGATTCAGTGTTTTCCAAAATTGACATGATTAGCCGTAGAAATCTCATAGGATATAATTTTAATTAGAAAGAAAAGAAAATATGAGTTTTATTTATGATTATGGTAGGTTTTCTTTGATTTTGCATATTAGCCCATGTATTATTTGTTTTGTAACCAGGTATGTATTGAATAACCTTGAGATACCAGTCTCCCTGAATTAGAATAAATGATAATTTCAGTTGGTGTATTTTTCATGCCTTGGGATCAGCCCTCCTTAGACGCCTTGATTATGACCTCTGTCTTGTAAGATTTCACAATCAAGAGAATTAGGAGACTATTTATGGAATAATTAAGGCTACAGGACTTGTTGTTTGGTTTGGTTTTTTTTTTTTTGTTTTGTTTTGTTTTTTAAATTGTGTTATGGGATTTAAAACTTCCTTCAATCTTTTTACTTAAAGTCCTGCATAGCGTGAATCATGAATTTTTTCTGCAGTGGACAGCCTTAGAAAGAAACTGATGCTTTAGCCAAAGAAATCTTATAAGGAGCCTTTAGGAGGATTGTCTACAATCTTCTTCCATTTCATCAATAACTATTATATCCAAGTTTTTCCAAAGGAAACCATTTGTATTCCTGCCCATGGCAAGGGGGGTTGGAACTAGTTGCTCTTTAAGGTTCCCTTCCAACCCAAACATTCCTGTGATTTAACAGGGTTCAGTTCTATTTTTTTTTCATGCACGATCCCAGATTTTTTTTGAATTGGCCTTTTTCTTTTGTTTCTTTCTTAAAGCTGCACCTGAAGTTGCAGCAACCCTTGTGTGAAGGGCATTTCCTGTACATTACCCATTTAAATTTCTTGCACAAATAGGTGAAATATCCAGTCCAGTGAGGATATAATTTAATTCTTGTCCTTTGAGAAGACTACTAAGAGGTTTATTGACCATCTGAGAAAACAAACTTCTGTTTGTTAGCAAACACAAATCAAGTAAGTGATGTATGTGTTCAAAAAGCCATTTCTGAAACTGTGAACTAGTCAGTAGTACTAAGTCTTTGTTGTTGCCAAGTCATAGAGTATCTTTCTCTATCATTTGCTTGTTCAGTGTTTTTCTTTGCAAATAGCTCCTTCCTGTTCTACTGTGGGTTGTTCAGCAAGCTTCTATTTTTTTTTTTTTTGAGTAGGTTAAATCTGGGTTGCCGAAGGTAGACCTGAAACACTAGGAAGTTCTCTCTCTAGATGTGGCAAAGCATATAAAGTCTGTTGTAAAACGTAAATAAAGTTCGGATAAGAACTGGGTTCACCTAACCAGGAATTGCCATATGAGAGAGGTCACAAGGAAAAGAGTTTCCATGAAAATATATTTGAACAAGGGAGGATTTAAATGCAAATGCGGCCCTTCTGGAAAGACGCCGAGGAGATAAATATCCTTCTAAAAGCAAATAACTAAGCTTGTCCTACCTCTGAAATCTGAGAGGACACCAGACCATTTTATTCTAAGGGAAGCCATCCTCCTTCAGATATGTGGAAAACAGCTGTTTTTTGATTCCCTGGTTGCTTGCATTGGCAACCAGCCTACCTCATCAAGTAAGAAGTTTGGAAAAGGCAAATAATTTATTCAACATAATTGTCCTCTCTTTAGTTCAGCTTTATGCCTGTGATTTATGTTTCATGTTTTGTTCCAATGAAATGTTTATATCAGTTGGATATTTGTGTTTCATGGAGGTAAATGTGCACCACTAATGACAGAAATTGTTATATAGAACTGTGAGAAAATGCAAAAAATAATCAGGAATTTCAATGAAACTGTTATATTCTCGTGGGATAGCCAAGTATGTCTCCTTCACTGTCAATTATTTTGGAGAGTCGTTCTGTATTTGTAAAGTTTGAGTACACAGCATAAATTGTTATGGGTCCTGACAGATGAGCTTGGTTTCTACCACCCAGTAGTACCAATGTACTAGCTCTTTCAAAAGCCCACTAAGCAGCGTTTATAATTTCTGCAGCAAGGCCAAGTGAAATCTGTATTGTAACATACCAGCATCATGGCAACACTGGAAATGGGCTGCCACGAATTGTCTCTTCCACCATCAATGCATCAAGGAAGTCTTTTTTGTCTAAACCCAGGCTTCAGTCTTCCACTTTCTGTTGAATATTACACACTCAAACTGTGTCAGATTCATGAGGCTAAAGAATGCAAGGGAAAAAGGAGCTGGACTCTGTCCATGCAGAGAAAGATCCTTGATTGTTTTACTGTTTATACCAAATGAATCTATCCAATTTGTATAAACCTGAATCTAGGACTCCACATGAGAGTGTGTTCCTCCCTTGGCAATAGAGATAAAACTCCTCTCACTTTTTTGAGAGCTCTCTTAGACTTGGAACCTCATGAATTTCATTTCTGTCTGCAGTGGCCTGACTTCAGTGGGGAAGGTGAGAAACAACTCCATTCTGGTTTTGTTTGTACTTAATGGGAACTAGGGGAAGTGGGCTTGCGTTCTTCAGTGGGGGAGAGACATGACTGCAGGTTTGCCATTTCCTGGACATGTGCTCTAGCACATTAACTGTGTACTAGAAGCAGTACTCATCGTAACCAACTGTTTTACAAAGGGACTTGAATCCAATATGGTATATAGGTTTTAGGAGTGCTTTATCCTTATCTGTTGGATTAGATGTGTTAGGGGATTTAAATGTGTGAATATTTAGTTTGTGAATCTCTTAATGACCTTAGGTAAGGAGATACCCTAACCAGATAGCTGAGTTAAAACAATACCTAAGCTTCTACAGGGAAGGTAATAGCTAAAATTTGGGTACTCAGGAATGTTTATCTGGATGTAAATGTAGGTGTTATGGGTATGGTTGTATTTAATCAGGCAAATAAAGTCTTTATCTAAATTCTGCTTAAGTTGAAGTCCATTCCTGAATCGACCTCACTGTTCTTCATCTACTATACTTGTCTAAAAATACTGTTATCTACTTGTTAAGGATTTTATATTTATATACAACTTATTCTAAGAGTATATAAACTAATGTAAAATAAATAACAAGCCTACCTTTTAGGCTGGATCTGATTTCCACGATGGTTACTTGGTTACTGCAACCTTCCACTGAGATTTATGCTTGTTTTTACCTGTTAGGCATTTCTCTCCTGGGATGATAGAGGTTTTGTTTTTTTTCCTAATTATCTAAATGTAAATTGTGAAGTTAAGTATTACTTGAACATTTTGAATCATAGGATTCATTGTGTAATATATCTTGAAGACATGGAATCAAAAATTATATTTAAAGAATCTTATCTGTATAACATTCCTGAGTTTCTCATCTTTTCCTTCTCTATTTTTCCACTGCAGATAACAATACCCAGACCTTCAGTGGCATCCACACAGTCTGCTTCTGAGAGCTTTCATTATGGCCACCAACTGGAGAAAAGAGAGCAGGATGCTCCGTCTATGGAACACACTGTGGAAATTTCCTCTCCAAAGGAAAGTTTTCCAGGTGTGGTTGTGACAGAAGATGCACTTCCAGATAGTGCCAGCAGACCAGATTTGGTACTTAATATGAGCCAAGAGGTGCTTGACACAGAAGGACTTGTCAAAGAAAGCGTCAATGTCCTGGACTGTGGCCAACAGGACCTACCTGAGCAACATGGCGGGATACAGGAAGAGAAAGAACTTGAAAATATTCTTTCAGAGGAGGTTGAGGAAGAAAAGCTTCCGGTGGTTTCTGAGGATGCCATTGCAATGCAAAGCAAAGAACAGAATTCCTTGCCAGGAAACTCAAAATCTGCAGAGGAAGAACCTCTAACGAACACTGAAGCTGCTGAAGAATCAAAGCCAGGACCTGTCAGTTTGATACCAAATCAAGATGAGGTTCTGAAATCGATAGCACCTAAAACATCAGAAATTTCTCCCTCAAGACTTACCAACTCACATGTTAATAGGCAGACAAGCAAAACAGCACCAGTTCAGGAAAACGGTTTTCATTCTGATACGGAAGAAGTCCATATCCAAGACTTGAAATGCCACCAAGTGGCCCTTAGTACTTTTCTGCATCAGGAGGACAAAAAAGAGAAAAATGCTCCCAGAAATGGAGAACTGTTCCACTGCATTTCAGAAAATGAGAATTCTCATCGATCTAAGAAGGACTTGGTTAAATCTCCTTTTGTATTCAGGCAGAGCCGAATCCCAGTTTTAGCACAAGAGATAGACTCAACTTCAGAGTCCTCTTCTGTTTCAGCAAAGGAAAAGCTGCTTCTAAAAAAGGCCCATCAGACAGACTTGGTCAGACTACTTATGGAAAAGAGACAACTTAAATCTTTCCTTGGTGACCTTTCAAGTGCCTCTGATAAGTCACTGGAGGAAAAAAAGGCTGCTGCTCCAGTACCTTTTTCTGAGGATGATGTCTTATCCTCATTTTCTAGATTGACACTGGACTCTCATTTCAGCAAGCAGACAGAAGATAGCTCTTTATCTCCAAGCAGCCCTCAGTCCAGAAAAAGCAAGATTCCAAGGCCAGTGTCCTGGGCAGCCACTGATCAAGTCACCAGTTCAAATTCAGCTCAATTCTTTCCTCGGCCACCACCAGGAAAACCACCTGCTAGACCTGGGGTAGAAGCTAGGTAATGCAGAGAAAACAGAGATACATTTCCAGGCTGAAAATGGATTTGAGCTAGGCTGCAGTCACTGTGCAGTGTGTAATCCTGTAGAAGTTACAACCTCTAACTATTGATTAAAAAATGCTGGGCTTCAGTCCTCTGAGAAAGCTTATGTTGTTGGAGAACAAATGAGGAAAGGCTGATACACAAGAAGGAGCCTGCTTCACTGTTAAAACTTACACATCAATAGATGTATATTCAGTATTTTGAAACCTGTCAATCTGTGACTAAATCCTTACAGTTCTGGGTATTTTTTAAAGTGGGGTCACTTTTCCAGAACTGTTGATTATTCACAAATTCAGAGAAATCTGTGTGATCTGTCTTGTCCAGCCTCTTTGAAAATTCAACTGTTCTTATTGTATACATTTTAAATGTTCAGGTTTGGAGATTCCAACCATCAGTCTTGAGTTAGCTAGCTATGCTCAGATCATGGCTAAGTAAAAACACTAATTAAAGGAGGGCAGAGTGAATTCTAGAAGCCTCCCTTGCCAATTCTATATACAGACAACCATGATCTAGCTTCTTCAGTGCCTACATTACCAGGATAAGGAGAATTTTGATACAGTAGTGTGAAATCCTCTGAAGGGAGTTGTGGTGTGCCTTGTCATCCCTTAAAATCATGTATAGGAGAGTACTGATGTGCAGGAATGGGTGTACCCCTCCAAAACAGAGACAATAGGCACTGCATTTTAGTGTACTTCCAGCACCACCAGGAAATTTCAGTTATCCTGTAAACATTTAGGCTGTGAGTGAGTTTATGTGAATATAAATACTGTGTTGATTTGAACAACATAGAATCCAAAGCCTAGATCCAAACACCTCTATCTTGTAGGATAGTTCAGCTCCAGATGTCTGTTCTGCAATGAAAGATCATCTCTACTTTCTAGTGATACTGTTTCTATATGAACTTCAGTGAACAGATGGGAACAGAAATAATCTTTCTTCATTTCTTCTTAAGGTTGCGCAGATACAGAGTCCTAGGGAGTAGCAGCTCGGACTCAGATCTTATCTCACGTCTGGCTCAAATCCTACAGAATGGATCTCAGAGACCAAGGAGTTCTACCCAGTGTAAGAGTCCAGGATCTCCACATAGTCCAAAAACACCACCCAAAAGCCCTGTCATCCCCCGACGCAGTCCCAGTGCCTCCCCTAGGAGCTCTTCCTTACCCCGTACTGCCAGTTCTTCTCCGTCCCGGGCTGGGAGACCCCATCATGATCAGAGGAGTTCATCCCCACATCTTGGGAGGAGTAAATCACCTCCTAGCCATTCAGGCTCCTCATCTTCTAGGAGATCCTGCCAACAAGAGCACTGCTGCAACAAACCAAGCAAGAATGGTCTGAAAGGATCTGGCAGTTCCTTCCACCATTCCCCAAACACTAAGACTCCCATAGGAAGGAGCAAATCAACCACTAAGCTTAGCAGATAGGAACTGGGCCTTGACAGGTATAGAACCTCCTCCTAAATCTGATGCATGTTTTGTCTGTGTACTGTGTATTTAAAAAAATAATCAAAAAATATATTAAAAAAAAGAAGGTGTTGAATCTGCGCTTTTAAAAGACAGTAAGCTTCATAAACTGTTCATAAAAACATTCTGTGTAAATAAGTGGCCAGGCATTGCCTAAGAGCAGGCAGCAAGCAGATCCGCAAGAGGGGAAGTAGAGGCCAGGATAAGAATGACTAGGTAGTCAAAGAGGTGCAATGTATTTAGAATAAAAAATATCTCTAATGTGAGTGTTTTGAAAGGATATTTATTTCTATGTTTTTAGTTTACCTAGCTAGAAGATTGGCCTAATTATTTAAGGCCTTATGTAATCAAGGAGTACATAAGAAAAACCTGAAACGGTTATTCCCAAAATGACATCATCACGTTGGGAGATAAGTGCTGCTCAAGCATGTCTTTGCAGTTTAAAAGAAGCACACAGTTTTGAAGACGATGGTATTTCTACCTTTTAAGTCTCTTCCATTTTGAGCTGCACACATCTCTGAATCACTAGTGCTTATCTTGTCTCCTGTCTACGGTGGCATGGATTTTTTTACCTAGGGAAGTATCATATACCTTACCCCTTCTTGACACTGATAACATTAAAAATTTAATATGAACATTTCCCAAGATGGTTTTGTAGCTGTGTTCTTTAGAGGTGTGTTTAATACTAATTAAGATTGGAGAAGCTGATTCTCAGTTACTTATCATACACTTCTTGGGAGTCACAGTGTGATTCTTCAGCCGATGTTCAGTAGAATCTGGAAAAGCATTCCTGTCTAGAAAATGAGATAAAGGAGGAGGTGTCTGCACTTCATTGAATGTTGCAAATTTACAATAAATAGCAATGTAAGTTAGAAAACAAGTTAGAAAACAAATTAGAAAACTGAAGTAGCTTTTTTCCCTTAGCTGCAAAAAGAACCCTTGTCAATGCCGGCTTTTGTTTTTCCTTTAGTTATGGATCACTGAAACCACTGATCTTGCCGGACAGAGTTGATTACCAACCAAGATTTCTTTTTTTGATTATTTGTTTTATAAAAACTTGAAAGATGAAACAGAGATGGGGAGATTGTCTGATTTGTGAACTTCGTAAGCTTTAGATGACAGAAATATATTTAACACCCTTACAAAATCTGGGTAAAAATATTAGTCATAATACACAGAAAACAATCTGAGGTATCTTTTACATTGGGTTCTTGTCATTCTTTTGCCCAAATGGTTCCTTAATAGCCAAACGTTAGTGTCTGTCACTAAAGTCCATGGTGTCTTAATTCCTCCCAACTTTGTTTCATAGGCACTTAATAATCCCTTGTGCTCTACAGGATCTCTGTAGGGAACATAATGGTACAGCACCTTTTGCTATACTCAGAAGAGAATAGCAGGCTCGAATAGTTAAAGAATGCAAGCCTGAGAAGACTGCAGCCAGCTCTCCGTGATTATCCCTGGTGTAGGGATGCTGGATGCGTAGGATACTTGTCAATTACTGATCTGCTTGCTGTAGTCATCTGCCTCTCCAGCCAGTATCTGTGCTTTTTTGTTTAACTTCTGCCAAATGAATACCTTTGGATTATAAAGGGAATATTTTTGTCTCTGAGCTAACACATTCTAATGCTGCATTAAAGCTGCCCTGGAGCTGCACTGAATTTCACGTGCATTGTCAGACTATGTTGATTTTGTTTTTTTCCTTTTCTTACTATGAATGTGTGTATTGTTTCCCATATGTAATGTAGCACAGTGTGGAACCTTAATTTCATTCAGGTTTCGAGCACTACAGATGAATGCAATAGGTAGGATATACCTGCTTTTTTCTGAAGAAACTGTACCATTGGAAAGTCTATTCCTTTGTATTATATTGTATAATAGGTGCTATTCCAATAATTGCATGTCCTCATGGTAAATTATATAATATAAATATTTATATATATACATATATGTATATGCTTATATAAATTCATTCTTTTTCATTTTTCATTTGTAATTTATGGACCACAAATAATGCAGTTCCCTTTCCGTTAGTTCCTGAGTACTTTTGGCATTACATTCTGTATTTCTCCCCTAAAATTTCTGGAATGCAAAAATTCTAATAGCCTTTATACATTGGTACAAGATTGAAGGACTGCTGATTTCTCAACCAGCCAATGTTTTGTCTTGCGGCTTGCTTTTTTCCTTTATAATTTTGTGTGTGCATTTGCGTATGGAAAAATAACAGAGACTCAAAGGTATTTTATTTTTAGCTACAAATAGGGCTTGTGGTTACTAATTTTTATTTCATAATGTGAGTTCTTAATTGTTCTGAATACTCATCATATAGGAGCAGTGGCAGTCAATGAATACCTATAAATGAATGTGACAACAACAAATTCCATAGTTCTCTTCCTGTTTTCCTCATGTTTCTTTACAGTATACCATAAAAAGAATTTGATGCCATTGTGATGGTTTTGCCCTGGGCACTGCTGGAATTATTTGTTAAAGTGGTGTGGCAGCATATGATCGTTTTAACTCTTGCTTATTTCTGAAAAGCATTTATTACGGTCTCATAAGCTTATTCCTATGTTAACACAGTTTTAATAGGTACCAACTTTATGTATCCTTGCCTGAAATGCTGAAGTTAAGGTGTTTATATTTTTCTCTCCAGTGTGGCAGGATCCAGAAACAGGTAATTGCTTTACAGGTGAGAAAGAATATGACACCTAAGGCTTTTTTTTTTTAATGTTGTCTTCAAAGTACAGACATGTCCATTATTACACCTTGCTATGTAAAATAAATTAATGCTGTAGAAATTCACTTGTACTTGAACTACTTGCCAATGTAAAAACAGTAAACTATGCCGAACCAGAGAGACTGATGACCCAGGCTTCTTTCAGTGCATAAAAAAGGACTGTACATCCCCAGTTGCTTTTTGCTGTGGATCCAACAGGATCTAGTGAGAAAATAATGAAGCTATGAATGGAGAATTGATTGTGAATAACTTACCTTGAACTACCTGCTCTTCTGCAGGTTTTTTATTGCTTGATATCCTCCCCCCAAAAGTTTACAGAACTGCTTACTGTAGTCTAATGTAGCACTCAGTTAATGTAGTTAGGTAATGGTCAGCTGATCAACTCATACATAAATATTAGCTTAATATTTGTAGAGGGCCTGTGTAATCATCAAGAACTCTGTAAGCTTCAATATTTAAATATGCAACTGACTGTAAAAACACCAGTGTACATGTGTGTGGCCCTTGTGCAGAGTGTGAATGAATGGTTTACAGAGGATTAACTGCAACAAATTTTCAGGGATGGGGAAGATTTTTCTCCACTGTACACAACAGTTACAGTTATTCTGCATAGCACGCAGCAGCTTACACAGGGATTTTAGCTGGGAAACAACATAATTCAAGGAGCTGTTGCTTTGTCCTCTTCAAGACTTCGTTTCTTTGGAGGGCAGTGCAATGGAGCCATGATATGTAGCAGATGCAGATGCTGCACACTCATTTCTCTTTATGGTGTTTCCTGTGTTGTGGCCAGCATTTTGGGGTTTCTTTTAGAGAAATTGAGGCATGAAGCCTTTAAACTAAAATAGAACTGACATTTCACACAGACTTTTGTGCTGCAGTATTGCATGGTATAATCAAAATTGCAGCCTCAAAAATCTATGTTAATAAACCTCATTATTAATTACAAATGTTAAGTAAAAGCCTGTTAAAAGTAATAGATGGGATACAGTAGAGCAACACCATCTAGCTGTACGATGCTAGACACCTATCTACTACTTGAGCAGGGTTGCTAAGCATAGAAAATTTCACTGCTCAAAGGCAGCAGCAATATGAGTTCTCAACTGCTAGTTCTATACAATTATTCAGGATACAAACACCTGCAGAGTCACACGGGGCAGTCATCACAGCCACCAGCCACATCCTGTTTTGGGAAATTGGACATATTCTAGCCTTGAAAGTCTGCATGTTTGAGATCAAGCTTTCTTGCATACCTCACTCAACAGTCTTGATGTAAAGGGGGAGGATCTGGTCCTTATATTTAAAAGTAGCTTGAAATATTTTTCATCTGGAAAAGATTTGCAAGAGCTCTATCATTTACAATTTGTAGTATAAGGGTATTAACTATAGCTGGGAAAACACAATTTTGATTTTATATATATAAATACACATTTGTACGTAAGTGTATCTATATATACACTTATATAGATACTGTATATTATATAGAAACATATATACATACATACATATGTGTGTATATGCATATAGATAGGAACAGTCTCAGCTGTTGCATCCTGTTTACTGGAATTCATTTGCCAGAGTGAGAAGAGGCTTGTTCTGTCTTGATTTGCTCTGATCTCCTCTTAATCTAGCATAATTTGCTACGAACCAATTCAGATCCTGTGTCTTTTCCATATTACAAGGCCTGATCCTATATTCCTACCTGGGCAAAACTCCTGTAAGTCCTTCTTACTGCAGTAACATTTATGCAATAGTTGACTATAATGCTTCTAAATACTTTCTTTTTTCTCTTCCATGAGAATGTAGGCAAAGCCAGGTACAGTACAGACTCTCTCCTGTAGACAGAATTTTTCCATAATGAATTGGATGATTTTGCAGAACACTAAAAGACAACAATTCTGGTAAGAAGAAAGTGATTATTCCAATTTCCTATAAGGGTCTAATGGCAAATTAGGGATATGTGCCTCCAATTTTTTTATAGAAGTTAAACAAGAGGAATCCTCTGAAAAGGAATGGGAGAATAACAGAGAGCTCAAAGTCAAACTGCTTTCTCATTATGGGCCTGTAATATACGGATCTTAGTTTTTTCATGCAGGACTGATCGTGAGAGGTGATGAGAGCTGTGCCCATCTTGTCGGTTCTATGAGCAAGGGGCTACTTAGGTGTCTTAGGACAACACCACAATTCCCTGTGGCGGTCTCTGTATGCTTTCCCACTCTAAGGAGTGGTCATAGAACTGTCAGCTGTATAACTGATTATCTATGACTCCTGTCTTCAGTTGATAAAAGCTTTGGATGCTCATTACTATTTCTTAAACTTGTGGAACAGTCTTTTTAGAACATTTTTATTTTACTTTCTTTAGCTAATCAAGTAGGCAGTGAACTAAAGGATTTTCTTCACTGTTTTGCTTTTGGCTCGTGTCATTGGTTGCAATGACTGCAATTTTCAGTAACCAGTAACGCTGGTAAAAGGAAGCGAGGTTCGGTGTTTTGACTACATGCAACACATAGGCACAAGTCATGCATTTCTTAGCTAATACATACAAATCGCATAAATACGCATTTCACACAGGAATACCTCAGCTGGCTGCTTGATGCCAGTCTTTCTTTCCCTACATAGAACATATGTAAAAGAGAAATGATGTAAAAGGCAGCCTGGATTGTATGTAATAATGGTCTGAAGTTACCTGTCAAATGCCAAAATTATTACTCATTTTCCTATGGTTTAAATATTCAGGCTTTTAAATACTAACCTTTCAGGGTTTTTTTTTGTTTTGTTTTAAAGGAAAAATGCACAGGAATGCTGTTTTGAAATCTCATGTAACTTGGCAATCACTGTAGCCATCCAGGTTTGAACATGCAGATTGATTTTACTCTCCATTGTAACACATTCTTTCTTAACAGTAGTAGTGACAAAACCAAATGTTAGTATATGTCATTGATGTATTTTGCTTCTGTTTCTCCTCAATGTGAAGAGGTTGGATCCTTGGGAATTCTTGCTGTTCTTGTGCAGGTGAAACTCATTAAAATCAGTGCAGGATCTTATTTTCTTAAGGTTTTTTCCCCTGTTTAGGGACTGAAGGAATAAACTCACTCTACAAATAGCATATATGAAATTGCTGTATTTTAAATTGGGAAATGCTTATTTTTTTATTACTATTATGACATGACATGCCTTTTGATCTCTTTTGTGTAAGAATTACTGCTGAGAGCTGGCTTTGGCCAGGAGTACAAAGTGGTTTCTTTTAAAACAATACTCATGAGGTCCTGATCATCCACAGCTGTCTGTGGGAATTCATCTGGAATTAATTTGAGTTACAGATGTTTGTTTCCTTTTGAGATCATTTGATCTTTGACCTAACTTTTATATAAAGGACGTATAGTGACAGCAGACCAGCATGCTTCAAGTGATAGAGTGTAATTAGTTTGGTCTGCCTGGCTTCAAATCCTTTTAAATCTGTATCTGCTGTGTGGAAGGCGAGATCTTAAAGGTTTGACATAAGGTGAGGTAGTGGGATTTTTATGGCTATTTCACATCTTTTTCCTATGACTAGAGATCTGGGTTGCCTGCCTTGGCAGCCTCCTCTGCATCCAATTTTCTTTCTGTGGCTAGAAAGCAAGATACGAAATTCTTCCCCAACTTTTATTTCTATAGAGGCAGCATGGAGATGAGCTGAAGTGCTTGTGCTAACTGATGTCAATTTTCAAATGCTCACCTATGATTACCCAAACCAGTAAATTAAGGAAATCACCAGCAATGCCTTCAGACAAGTGCTGACTTTTTGAAGCTGCCAAACAATGGCTGCTAACAAATCTCTGGGCAATACCACAAAGAATGAAATCTGTAATTAAAAATACAGTGTTGTCACCCCCACAGAAATTAATTACTCAGTAGTAAAATCTGCAACATGATTAAATTAAGTGGAAAGTAGTTCCAAGATTGTTTATTACCATCGAGTAACACGAATGTTGAGTCCTTCAAATTCTCTTGCTCAGTAATTGCAGTTCTCTTCCCCTCCTTGGAAATCTTCTAAGCCATTCATTTCCTTTTAATTTTGCTCAGGCACTCAAGAACATAAAGAGTTAATGCCCTTGTAATGGTCATTTGTACATAAAGTTGTAATTATTTATTTTCTCATTTGTACCATATCAAGGCTTTGTACAATGTTTTAAGTTTTGTTTTCAAATTATTTTGTATTTTATTTTTATAAACTGGTTCTAAATAAAATACTCATTCAGCATGCAAAACTTCAGTTCTGGTGGTGTTTGTGTAATTGATTCATTGTTAAAAGCTTCACTTGATTTTTTCCCAGTATTTTTTAGTATTGTAACCCTGTACTTTAAATGGAGAAAGTGCTTTGATAGTGATTTTTTTTTTTTTCTGTTATAAAAAAGCAAAAAGCAAGTGTCTGTTGGTGCTCCAGGAACATGAGTCAGATGCTCATACTGCAAGTCAGACTGATTGGATCGATGGAAGTTTTACTGATTTAGTATGTTCATGTTTTGTGTATTAATAAGAATAGAGAAACCCAGCCAGCCTCCTCATAAACCTCCCTTTCTATTTGCTCTTGCTCTTATCCATACTGGCTGTATTCAGCCAAACAATAAATGATCATCACAGCCAGATCAGTTCAGTTTTAATAACAGTATAATGGATTCTAGCTTCGTCATTCTGAATAGCCGGCTCCTGCTACTTTTTATCACTCCCAAATTGAAATTCCTTATTTAGTCAGAGACCACCATAATTTATTTTTCTGGAGATGATCAGATGTCTGGATGTAGTCACTGAGCTTTTAGAGCCTCGAGGAGACCTGTTGTCCCTTGTGCAATATGCTGAAGTGGGAGATGATAGAGAAATTAACAAACAGAAGTTACTGAATCTGAGCAGTATGTGCTATGTGGAAATGCAGAATTAACCTACCAGTTGCTCTTGTTCCCTCCAAGATCATTTCTTTCTAGTAAAAGTAGAGTATAATACACCATATGAATTTATATTTGTGGCTTATGTGCCCACATATCTTAGTCCTTAAATGCTGTGGAAAATACTGCCTGCTCTTTGTGCAGCAGAATGAGCTTTTTAGGGAAGTCCAGAAGAATTGGAGAAAATTCCCTGGATCTCTTGCTCAGCATTATCACCATCACATTTTGTACGTGAGGCAAATTGAAAGCCAGCTCTGCCCCTGTTCAAATCATTGGCAGTATTTTCAGACCATGGCTTCATGACCATGTCATTAGCTCTTGTTATTGTATAAATAGCTCCAATTGCTTTACATGACAGGAAACAAATTGGGAATGAATTTATTCAGT